CCCGGCCGCCCCTCAGAGGTCTGCGCGGGCACCGGCCGCCCGCGGCGCGTACTTGGGCATCAGTTCATGGATCCTGCGGATGAAGTCGGACTTCTCGGCGCAGCCCTTGCACGCCTCGCCCCAGTCGTCCAGGATCCGCCGCAGCTCCTTGACGCGCAGCTTGCGCAGGTCGGCGGTGCTCAGGTCGATCTGTTTGTCTGCGGGGAGAGCAGAGCCGCGCTCAGCGGGGGCGGGGGTGCCCGGCTGCCGTCCCGGGGGGCCACCCCTCCCCGGGAGACGGCGAGGAGAGGAGCCCGGCGGTGAGGGGTCCCAGGCTGCAGCTGTGGAGACCGGTACGGAGGCCAGGAAGCCAAAATGCAAGAGGGAGAGAGGTGCCGGGCTCCCGCGGGCGGAAAGAACGTCTCAGTGAGGCTTTTGATGGAGTTTTTAACACTAAAAGTCATTACTAGAAGCCAGGAAGTTTTAGGAGTTCCACAACAGCCCTGAAACCCCCTTTATTGTATGAGCAGCAAGACTTGAATTCTCTCTTCCACTGGATAAACAAAAGGTAGCAGCGTGATTTCAGAGGAGAGATAAGCAAGTGACAACAACAAAAAGCTTGTTAGGAAGCAACAGGACATGACTACGAGAAATGAGAAGTATAAAGACCCACAATCCAAGGGGTGTCTCCAGGGAATGTAAGGGCAGAGACAGAGGAAAGCAGTCAGAAGGTTATTTCCAAGACTGTTCTTCACATTAGTCTTTTCAGGGAGAGTACATCATCTTGGAACGGGAGAGTCAAGGGAGGTGGTAAGAAAAGAGAGCTGAGTGCTCTGAGCAGGCACCAGAGGAGGTGAGAAAGAAGTGTTTATCAACCTGCTGCTGGCAGAGTAAGAGCAGCTGGGACTGCGGAGCTTTGCTAAGGACTCAAACTCTGCGTACAGGAGACATCATCCCAGGCCACAGGACACACCTGGCTGCTCCCCAGGACAAGCTTTACTGCAGGCTCTTCTAGATTCGATATTCCAAACAGTGATTTGAGCACAGCAGTGCTGATGTGCCTGGGAGTTACTTAATTCAAAGGCAGATGAGTGGCTCTGCAGAAGCTTTTGTTGTTGTTGTTGGTCAGTATGCCAACAATTGTACCTGAGCATCTCCATAAAACTCTCTAGGATGTTTATGGAGAGCAACCCAGGGTGAGCAACCTAACTAGGCTAGTGATCTTGCTACAGAACTTAGGACTCGGTATTGTTAGCATGCTGTTTCACCCCAAATGATCCATACCCCAGAAAAACATGGCCATTTCCCCTCATGCTGGCAACTCACCGTATTTTAGTTCACAGATCTGACTGTCTTTCTTCTTTAGTTTCTCACAGATCTTTTCCACGGGGATGTGATGACTCATGGGCTTTGATACCTCATTAATTATTTTGGTGGCTGCATCACTTGTGGCCCCAATGTAATAGCACTAGAGGGAAGAAAACAATGAGGTGGCAATGCATGGAAAAAAACACTTCTAAAAGGAGAGTTTTCTATCCATCTTCTCTCCTTGCTTGGTTTTACAACTTGATGTTTACTATTGCAGAACCCTTCCAAGTGACCTCTACTGACAGGCAAAAGGAAGCCTAACTCTGAGCCCAGAGCAGATGCTTCCCATCACACTGCTTTTAAAGCTCTTGACACTGGTTGTCTTGTTTCTCAACTTCTAAAAAAATTAAATTGGATTAAGAATAAAGTCTTCTTCATTCAAGGAGAATGACTTTTGAAGCGTTCACCCTCTGCATTTCTGATGGTGTCTCTCTGCAATTTTCTTCTTAGGGAGAGTTCAGTGGCCTTTTCCCTGGGGCTCTTAATTTGGGGATTGCCTTCTGGTTTTTGATAGGGCAATTTGGTTTTCCTTTATTTAGTTTTCAGCTAAACAGCCCAAAAGCATAAATATTTTAACAGCTTATATAGCAACCCAAATTCAGTTTAAGGGCTGAGGAAGTCCTACAGCAAATAAAAGCTTTGTAATCCCCAGCACTTCAGTAACAGGGAGAAACAAGGTCAGCCAGCGAGGTGCCTGTTGACAGACTGGCTTTTTTTCTTTTCTCTTTTTAAGGTGAAGAGGTTGAATTCCTCAAGTCTTCCCTTACCAAAAAAACCCAAAACAAAACAGGAGCAATTGTGGCCACAGAGCCAGGAAGAACAGCCCCTGGAAAGCCATATCACACAAACTCAGAAGCACTAGTGTCCCCTTGTTTGCCAAGTATTCTACAACTTACTCCCTCGGGAGGCAGCTATCATTTACTGCTACTTACCAGGCGGTTCTCTTTGCCTTTTGCTTCTTTGCAGGATTTCAAGAGCTCCTTTTCAATACTGGCAGGTGTGAACTCAACATCGTTGTCCTTTAGACTCTGGTAGAACCTTCCCAGGAACGTAACACACACTGGAAGGGAAGATGGATGGAGTTAT